CTCCGGGAGGCTCTTCCCTCTCCCTTTTCCCTGGATTTTCCCGGATTTGTAGCAGCAGCGCACTCGGTAACACAAACCCTGTCTCTCGGGATTAGCAGCGCGGTTACACTTGCGACAGCTGCCCGCTACAGAAACAGCACAAGCTGCTGCTGCTACTCTTTTTCCTGATTTTTATGGAGCGTTGTTCCTCCCCTCCCCTCTGTTTCTCTCTCTGCCCTCCCCACAGCTCCACGCCGCTCCTCTCCATGCTTGCCTGGCCTCTCGAGAAGAACCGCAGCCGAGTTTTCCTAGAGCAGCCCCGGGAGACTTTTCCTTTGCTGAGCCAACAGAAGGCAAAGGGGGGCTGGGGAGGCGAGCTGAAAGCCGGCCAAGCCTCGTGTCAGTGAGAGACCGGGCAGGGGAGGGACTTTTTGTAGGGGAGAGAAGGAGAAAAGAAACTTGAGACTGGCTTCCCGTGTGACATGTGTGTGTGCCGGCCATCCCCTCCCACCGCCCGGTTGTTCAATGAGAGCACGTGAAGAACATGAGGTTTCCTGCTTGAGAGGGAGGGCAGCGCCGGGCACGCAGGGAGGAGGAAGGAGGAAGGCGAGTTGCGCCTTTGTGGCGGTGTGGGTTTCGCCGAGATCACAGCTACGAGTGCCTGGGGGTGGGAGCAGAAGGAGAAAGGGCGTCTGATGCCAGCTGCCAACATGACAGAAACCCTGCGGCTCCCGGCGCTGCGGGTCCCCGAGCAGCAGGTGCTGGAGGGCGGCTGCGCCTGGTCCAGCTCGTCCACCCCGACCCTGCGCAGGAGGCGCTTCAAGATGAGGCGGATGAAGAACGTGCAGGAGCAGAGCCTGGAGGCCGGCAGGTTCCAGGAGTCTCCTTCCTCCAGCAAGGAATACCTGCAGCTCCCATCCATTGAGATCACCCCCTCCAGTGACGAGGACACCCCCTGGTCCAACTGCTCCACTCCCAGTGCCTCCCCGCGCCGCAAGCGCTTCCTCCTTCGGAAGTGGCTGCGCGTCCGAGAGAAGAAGGAGTGCAGTGAGAGCAGGTAGGTCCTCTGGCCGCTCCCCTTCCCTGCTCCCGAGGTGATGCTGCCCAAAATAGGCTCTGCTGGAAGGGTCTCTTGTTCCCCTGGATGTGCCTCTGCCCGGACTTTGTCCTCGCCTGTTGGCTGCAGTGTGGCGTGGTGTTGGTTGGATGTGCTGGTGCCAGAGGAGAAAGGCCTGGGAGCTGTCTGGGAATGGCAGGGCAAGGCTGTGTCCTTGCTCGTGGTCCTCCAGGTGACACAGAGCCAGTGGGTGAGAAGAGTTAACCTCACCATGGTGTCCTGAGGAGACCCTGAGAGAGGGGAGTGACCTCTCTGCTGGCACTACCTGCGTGGCAGTGATGGTGCCAAACCTCTGCCAGTCTTTTCTGGTGATGCTCGTTCCTGCCACTGAGACTTCCCCTGAGATCCTGAGCTCAGTGTTGGCACAAAGAGAGACACCAAGCAGCACAGTGGGTCTGTGTGTCAAGGTGGCTGGGCTCAGTCCTTGGCAGCTTTCCAGACCTGAAAGTCACACAGTCCTTTGGCAGGAACGGGCACAAATCATTCCCAAAGCCTCCAAGAGCCTGTCAGCACAGGGAGTTAATGCCCAGGCATTGTATTTTGTGGCCTCATGGAGATAAAACTTCACCTTACATAACCCTCTGCGGGGCACCCCACATGCAGTGGAATTAACTCTTCCTTTAACAATCTGCCTTTCCTGAAGGCCCCAAACACACAAGACACTGTAAAGATTTCTCCAAGAAATGGCTATTTTATAAACCCTTAGGCTGAGTTAGTGTGGGCCAAGTTTTCTTCCACTGTTTGCAGCCCCTGTGCAGCTGATCTGTGGGGTTGTGTTTAAAGGATGTGCTACACTTCCAGAAAAACAGAAACCTTCAGCATTTCTGCACCCACCAAACCACACTGACTCACTGCCTGCTGTGGTGCTGGAGTGTTTGCAGGGCAGAGCTCGGAATATCCACTCTGATTAGCTGATAATTTTTCTTTCATCAGGTCCCTTTAGCAAGGTCACTCTGTCAGCTTATTAATTTTTAAAGGACTTTCATCAATGAATGCATGCCATTGAGGATGTGATAATGCCTCTCAGCAAGTTAACACTGAACAACATCTCTTGGTTTAGGAAATATTTCTGATTTAGGAAATATTTCGGATTTTCATGTAGCAGTGGTGGTGCAAGCAGGGATTCAGGCACAGCACACAAAATGGGAAAGATAATGCATGAGGCATGTGCTGATGTGTCACAATATCGAAGTTCTGGTCAGAAATTCAGAGGATGAAGTATCCAATCCTTCAGCTGAGGGCTTAATTTGGGTTTCCTGATGATGAATGAGTTTCAGGCATGCCAAGACACGTTGCTTTAGGTGTGAAGGTAGAAGAAAGAGCTACGAGCTACATTTCCTTGTACATTTGTCGCCATGCTAACAACTTCCTGCTTATTCATCTCCGAGGGATTTTTGGGTGATGTTTCCGAAGCAGTGGCTGGGAAGAAGGCGAGGTGTGAGGTCTCAGGTGGCATTGGCACACCAATGCCAGCGTGGCACCTCCTTTCTTCACGCGCAGCAGGCTCCAGACCCACCCCCTGTGCCCCGGGAAGCACGGCGTTCTCAGATGGCATTTTCCCTCCCCAGCCCAGGGCAAAGCCAGGTTTGGTCGCTGTGCTGAGCCCGTGGGCTGGCAGAGTGCCGAGAGCATCCCTGGGCTCTGCCACCGCAGCAGGAACCGGCACAGAGGAGCAGAATCTGTGCGGAGGGGGAGAAACCCCGAGGGGGTTTGTGGCATCATTTGGCAGAGCCCTGGGGTAAACTTTGCTGTGTGAGCTTTGAGTGAAACACAACTTTCGTAGGGCAAGAAGCTGTTTGCCTCTAAAACAGATTTGCTGTTTGCTCCTGCTGCTTTAGCAGGGTCAGGGAGGCACCTGCTCTGTCCTGCTGTGCCACTGCTGTCGGTGACAGATGCCACCTCTGTGTTTGTTTGAGGGCAGCAGGGGCAGCTGCTGAGGGGTTTTGTGCAGCAGGTCATGCACCAGGCTCTCATTCCATCCATTCCCTTGGTGCTCAGAGGCCTGCCCGGGTGTCACAGGGACCCCAGGGTGTGCCACCCTGTGCTGGGAGTGCTCTGCAAATCCCCACATTTCACCTGGTGAAAGCAGCAGCCATCAGGCTACTGCTGCCAATCGCTCCATTTCTCTGGCTGAGCTACCATCAAGCCGCTGAAATGTTATTTTTGGAGCTGGTAACTCTTCTGGCCGTGCCGTGGGCAGATACCTGGCTGGTGGCAGGGATTTCCCAGCACAGCTGGCAGCTGGCAGAGAGCAGCCTGTGCCCAGGCTGAGCTGCTCCTTGCTCTGCCCTCATGGCCCCGAGCAAGAGCTCTGTGACCATCAGCATACAGCGAGCATCCAAGTGAATAAACAAACCCTTTTTCAGCGCTCCAAACCTGTCTCTAATGCTCCAGCTCTGCTTTTCTCAGCGGAAACTCCCACGTGCTGGTTAGTTTTTAACAGCCTGGGTGATTGGTAGCCTTGTTTACCTGCTGGGTCTCTAAAAGCTGCCAGAGCAGGAGGGAAAATGTTCTTTTCCTTCCATTAAAGCCCAGGGACAGCTGCGAGAGCCTCTCCTGCCCCTGCCACTGCTGTGCTCCAGGTGAGAGAGCAGGAAGGTGATTCCTTGGGGGTGGCACTGGAACATGTCCTTGCTCAAAGAATTGATGGCCCAAACCTCCAGGTTGCTGCACAGATGATAAATACGATGGTTTTTATGAGGGATGCAGGCAGCTCCTCCTCTACCCCTCAGCCATCATTTACCAGCCAGGTAATGAAGTTATTTACTTTTATAAACCATGAACCCTGCACACAGGTGCACCATTTTATTTTATTTTAATTTTTTTTAATTAAGACATGTTGATGTTTCTTTCTTCAATCTGGTGGCAGGTTGCTGTGCATGCAACCTGCATGCATTATTGATGTGGGCATCAGGCAGTTGATCAGCTTTAATTTATTATTTACCTCCTCAAGCCACCCTTGCATGCAATTTCAGGACCTGCACGTGATTTTGGGGCAAGAATTGCTGAGTAGATCATTCAGGCTTCAATTTAAGGACAGCTCTCCCTTTGGCCTAAGATCAGGACTGGTTAAGGATGAAAAAAATGTTGGTGCTGCAAAAGGTGCAAAACTTGTGGATTTTGTTGGAGCAGTTTGTGCAGCAGATCTTGACACTTCTGTAGATGATTTTACTCAGGTTGGTTTTCTGCTGGAAAATCTGACACTCCCTGTGGATCCATCCAAAAGGAAAGACTTGTCTAAGTCCTAAAATGCCTCTAGCACATTAAAAATGAAATGTATTATGAGAAGAATTCCATCCCAGCTCAGAAAAGTGTCTGTGCTGAGGAGCTGGAGGTTTCTTGAACTGCCAGTTATGCAAAGGGGGAGGTTTTTCAGATGAAATCCTGATAACTTATCTCAAAATGTGGAACAAATGAGGGGAGGCTCCAGCTCTGCTCAGCACTGGGCTCTGAGGCTGCTTCCCTTCGCATTCTGAGGTAAAAATTTTCCTTTTTTCCTTAAAAAAACTTTCTCTCAATCCCTGTAGTGATATAAATTAGTTAACAGTGAATTGATTTGTTGGAACTTGAGCTAAAATTATTTACAAATTGGTGGTTTAGATGTTTTGAATTGGCTTATAAAGGTAAATCAGCCTTTAATTTCAAGTAGCCCATTGTGCTTTTGCCTTCCTTAATTAAATCGAAATTTGCTCTGAGCATTTCTGGGAATAAATTAATGGTCATTGCCCTTTTTCTGACTTTGACATGTGTAGAAAATATTGTGGTATTTTCTGGAGGAAAAATCCTGAGTGATGTGAATTTTTTTTCCCCCTAAGAAACTGCTGATGCTGAAAAGTAAAAAAAAAACAAAAAACAAACAAAAAAATATAAACAAACCACAAAATTTGCAAGATTAAGGTTATAGATCTTCTTCCATTATGGAAAAGTGATCCAAGTCTTTAGGGAAATTATGGAGGAGTTTCCTGGAGAAGAGGGAGCTGCTCCAGCCCTGGGCAGCCCTGGGGGGTTTTGGTCTCTCTGTTCCACAATGAGCAGCTCCAAATTTCGCAGTTCTCAGTTTTTCAGTTTTTGCAGAACTTTCACCTCGGAGGGGAGGAAATGGGGCTGCTCCTCTCTGAATTGGGAACTGGGTGTGTTCTGGGCTCATTTCTGCTGAAATTCATGATAAAATCTCGTTTGTGTAAAGAACCGATGGCTCCACTGGGATTTCATCATGGAAGAGGCAAATCCTTTTTTTCCCCCCCATTTTTGCTTGTAACTGGAGCTGGTTAATTGAGGTTTTTAGGAGGAGAAGGGTTTTTGGGAAAGCTGTTGGTCTCTGAGGGAAACAGCTGCTCTTCTCTGCTTTTGGTGGCTTTGGAAAACCCGTGAGCACAAACCTGAGTGATGTGATTTTTTTTTTTTTTTCCCTAAGAAACTGCTGATGGTGAAAAGTAAAAAAACACAAAAAACCTGCAAGATGAGGGCTTTAGATCCTCTTCCATGATGGAAAAATGATCCAAGTCTTTAGGAATATCTATGTGGTGCCTCTTCTAATCCGAAATTTGAAAACACAGAGATGATGGCTTGGTAGCAACTTTTCCCTTTTTGAACCTGCAGGTTCAAAT